GAAAAAAAAATGTTCGAATGATTTTCTTCCTTAAAATCCAAACGCATTTGAACACATCATATTTTTCTGAATAACTAGGCATGGTGAAATTTTGAGAAAAAGAACTTATTAGCAAACTAAATAAAAGGTTAAAGGCCCTAACAATTCCACAGATGAAGCATTGAAATAAGAACAACATGAAAGATAAACACATCATATTTTTCTGAATAACTAGGCATGGTGAAATTTTGAGAAAAAGAACTTATTAGCAAACTAAATAAAAGGTTAAAGCCCCTAACAATTCCACAGATGAAGCATTGAAATAAGAACAACATGAAAGATAGCAAAAATGAGTTGAGCTTAGATTTTTGGAGTGAGATATTGCAGCTTATTAGTAATTTAGTTTCTTCTGTGGATTGCAAGGTTGCCAAAGGAAAAAAAAAAAGAAAAAAAAAGAAGGTGTTTTGAATGCTCTCAGTGCAGTATAAGATACCATTTTATTTGCTTCAAATACTACAGGACGTCCCAATTATATGATAAGCTTAAGCCACCTTAAGCCAACACAAATTTAGCTTACATGTAGAGTTATATTTGTGAAAGTAGGAGAAAACAAATGTGGAATTAGATTGAGGAAGATGAAGATTTACTTACGGTTTTTCTTAAATAGTGTTGAAAAGCTAAACCTGCAATAACAATAGTTGAATGTAGTTAGATATGTCTCCTATATATGAGTGTAACTTCTAATCAAAAGAAAAAAAAAAAAAAAAAGACACGTCATTCTTAGAAAAGGTAGCTACGTACTAAGAAGAAAAATTTTCCGGAAGAATTGCACTGAATTTCATCTAAACAAAAAGAAGGCTTACAGAAACATTGTAGCAAGTTGCCTTTTAGGGGGGCCTCGAAAATCGTCATTGACTCGATGCTCAAGAGTCCACATAACAACTGCAATCATCACAAAAGAACCAACAGTGACACACCACAACTCCCATGTGAATGGCTTGAGAAACACCCAAGCATTTGTTTTCGGATGGCTGATAGGTGCCACTATCACAAGACCAGTACTAGCATAAGGCTGAGAAAAATCCACAATCTCCGTCCTGTTTTTTACAATTGTGATGTCCCCAACAGCAGCATCGAATACCTGAAAACCATGTTTGCATTAGGAAGGTATGTTCGTAACAATATCTATCTTCTAACCAGCAAAGACTTGTAACAACCGAGTTTTACTTACATCACTCTCAACCATTTTCACAAGCTGATCATATTTGGGATTTGAGTGACCATCTCCAAAAGGCTCCAATCTGAAGGGAACTTCATAAGGGATTAATTTACACGCTTCCGTGAATATGTCGATGCAGTATCCCTTTATGTCGTGGTTGTTGTATTCTGTAACAAACTCAACAAAACTTGTCCTGTTTGGCACCACAATTCTCAAAGGCTTTTCATCAACTGCAATCACCCAACCTCGCGGTGTTGTTGTCTCTCCCCCGGGCCAAGTAACATTGTTAAGCTTCTGATCCCAAGGGGAATAGCTAACTTTCTTCACTTTTACAGCTTCTGGTGGGGAAACAGAAAATCCAGTGTAATTGGACCAAAAACCAATTGTACGAATTTCCCTTTGGTCGATATTGATGACATCATAACCGCTATTGATTAAGTTCCTGGCTTCATCAAATCTAATCTGACCAGTTAAACCAGTGAAGTTCGTCTCCAATAATTCCTTAAGAAGAATAGCTCCACCATCAAATACTTTGAGCTTCCCCAGCTGAAGTTCAGTTCCTTTAACACTAAGTAACTTATCATTTAAAGAGAATGATACATTTCCATATTTTTTTATAAATCTATCAATGGAATAGGCAACCGTCCAAACTGCATCGTAAGCATAAAGTCCATAGTTATTCAACTCGGAGCTCACTAAACCTGCCCGCTGCAGTTTTCTCCACTTAGACAAAAAGGCTTGTTTCCGAGTGGATTTTGGAATGTGTTGGCGAAGCGTGACCACGCCTTGAAGAACACCAAGAGAGGTTCGACTCATCATTGGAGAGTACGAATCTATGGTCGTAGAGAGCCAATCCGTTGCGAACCACACATAATTGCTAGTCATCATTTGTAGCCTTTTTGCAACAGTGAAGATTTTCAACAAAGGATCGGGATCAACATGAACAACATAGACACGAGGACCAAACGACTTGGAGCTTTTGAGCACTTCAGTTACGTAGCTCATATTGAACTGAATAGGCAGAGGCAATTTATAGGCAATTCTCAGTGTTCTCTTATCGAGCTCATCTTCGAATGCGGATACACCGTTCCTGCCATAATCATTATCCACATATATGACAATGAACTCTTTCCAACCATAAAACTCTATCAGATCAGCCATGGCATCCATTTGGTAGGCGTCGCTATGCGTAGTTCGGAGGAAGTAAGGGAATTGCAGAGCAGATAGAGTAGGATCGGTTGCACCATAGGAGACAATAGGAACTTGTAGACCATTAGCAATTCCAGAAAGTATGTGAGCTATTGCTGAGGACTGTGGGCCAATCATAGCCACTACCCCTTGCTCTAGCACCTGAAAAGCTGCCCCAAAAGAAAATGTACAATTCAGAAAATGGAGCAAGGCATCATTGCAACAAGTCCAAATCTATATTAACAACCTTATAATCAGAGTAATAAGAAGCACAACAGTTGACCATATGTAATGGACAAAAAGGTATGATTGTCATTCTTTCAAGTAGATTTTCTGCCACTGAAATTTACACGGAGGACATATTAAAATAGTTAGCTCATGGAGGGCTTAGTTATTCTAAAAAATAGGCAGAGATTTTGTACAGATAAACCAGCCATTAACAACAACAACAATAAAAACAAGGGTAAACTTGAGGCTT